CCGACTCCCAACTCACCGAGACGCCGCAGCATGATACCGTGGTCTACGGTATCAAAAGCCGCTGAGAGGTCCAAAAGAACAAGGACAGAGGAGTACCCTCTGTCCCGGGCCCTCCAGAGATCATTGACCAACGCGACCAATGCCGTTTCCGTGCTGTGCCCCGGCCTGAAACCCGACTGGTATGGGTCTAGATAGACAGCTTAGCCTTAGCTTGTGTATTAAACAGTTTTTGTTTTAATATTATCCTGGTGCTTGGGGTTGGGGTTTTCCCAGGTAACATTTTCAATATTTAGCAAACAGCATATTATCTGGGTACATGTATTTAACTAAGAATAATAGATGTAGTTAATTATCATAAACAGTATTAATTAATCACTCAGAAGCCTTCTTCTTACTAATATATATTCAGAATTACAGGTCACATTCCTTTCTCTCTGACTCGTTTTTCTAGCCATTGGTAAAAGTGATCCCATGTTCTAAAGCAGACTGAGTCTTCTTTCTCTTTCATCTCTAAAGTCAATCTATCCATTTCTGCGCACTCTAGAATTTTCTTAATTAGTACTTCGTCAGTTGGTAAGTTTTCATTTTTCCAATACTGGGCAAATACAATTCTTGCTGCTGTTAATACATGTAGTATCAGATATCTGCAATCTTTCTCCTACTTGGCTCCTGTTATTCCTAACAAAAACAGTTCTGGTTTAAAGTCTATTTGTTTTTTAGTCACCTTCTCCAACCATAGATGTATTTTAGCCCAATACCTTTTTGCTTTAGGGCATGTCCACCAGATGTGGTAATAAGTACCTGGCCTTTAAAAATACTTGTTTTTCTTTGAAGATGTCTCACTTCCCATCCAAGAAGCTTTTCAGCTCTGACTGAAGAAGCTCCACCATCCAGTCAGAGCAGAAGTAGCTTCTTGGATGAGAAGCGAAACGCCTTCAAGGAAAAACAAGAAAGTCCAGTTGCCTCATGAAAAAGCATATTTGAGTTCAACAGGCTTATAAATACAGAATTCCCAGCCAGCCTGTTGTTTGGGAATTTGGGAAATGGCAATTCCATTACACCTGGAGTCCGTCACATTGGGGGACAAGATGGCAAGACAAGAAACAATGGAAACTAACCAAAAGAGAGAAACAACCTAGAACTAAGGAGAAATTTCCTGACAGTTAGAACAATTAATCAGTGGAAGGATTTGCCTCCAGAAGTTGTGGGTGCTCCAACACTGGAGGTTTTTAAGAAGAAACTGGACAGCCATTTGTTTGAAATGGTATGGGGACTCCTGCTTGAGCAGGGGGTTGGACTAGAAGACCTCCAAAGTCCCTTCCAACTCGGTTATTCTGTTCTTTTTATAACATTGGGACAGGAGGACACAAGACACGAGCCATAAAGCCACCAAGGATGAGGTGATCGCAGACACAGAGAGAAGAAAGAAAAATGATCCATAAAACCACATTTTCCAAAAGCACACCCACTATATATAAAGCCAAAGAAGCAGACCTGCCACAAAAGCAGGATGACTATTCTAAAGAAGTGAGAGGTGTTTTTTTTTAAGGCAATTCCAAGAGAAGACTCCTTCAGAAACATTTTGGGCAAGGGATGGGGGGAACGAAAGGTGCTTAAGTAGGAAAAAATAACATCGGATAAAATGCAAACAAGAGTAATGAAATTGCAGGCGAAATCAACATTGTTGCAGTCTATCAGTATTCAGCTAAGGGGGATAACATATTTATATGTGTTTTTGGTCTTTTGTCATGCACATTTTTTTTAACGTTCCAGCCATTTTTTGTTTTGCTTTTGTATAATTTTGTTTTTCTTTTCCTTTTTGGAGTTTGCATTTTAATTTTTGGAATAAAAATTAAAAGTTAAAAAAAAAGAGAACGGAGGCGATAAATGCCTATTTTACTCACGGCAGCAATAGATGGCTTTTTCCCGTCTCCAGCTGGTGGATGAGTGACATCTGCCCCCAGAAAGATGACAGGCTGCTGAAATACTGGAGGCCTAATTAAGAGAGAGCATAAGAAAGTATTTGCACAACACAATCAAGGAGGCAAGTTTACCTTGGTGGGTTCTCCAGGACACTACAGAGTGCCCGTTATACAACTGTGTTCTGCCAGCACGTTTCCATCTGAGGACAGGCCAAGGGCCTTGGGCAACATATCTACCAGCACCACATTCTTGACTTAAATGAATTTTGCCCCATTTTATGACTTGTCTTGCCACATTTGTTAAGTGAATCACTGCAGTTCTTAACTTAGTCACACCGTTGTTAAGTGAATCTGACTTCCCCATGGACTTTGCGGGTCATAAAGTGGCAAAGGGGGATCACGTGACTCTGGCACACTGCGACCGTCGTAAAGATGAGTCAGTTGCCAAGGAACTGAATTTTGATCACGTCGCCATGGGGATGTGCAACGGCCAATAAGTCCTAAGTCACTTTTTTCAGTATAGCCGTAACTTCAAACAGTCACTAAATGACTATATAGTCAAGGA